TAACTTATGGCGTTATGGTGACAGATGTATTATAATATTATGTAATGTGATGCTATATTAAAATTATTGTTAAAATTTCAGCTGTTTTTCTCTATATATTGTCCAAGACATAAAGTAATATGCACACATGTCTAGGATTACCAAAACAGAATTTAATTTATATTGTTAATGCATAGATAGACAACTAAACATGTGACTATGTATTGTATCAGGATATGCATCTCAATGCTTTGTTGATATATGTCACATTATTTTCTAAAAAATAATATTTGACCAAACTGATTTACTTTATTCTTTGTTTGATAGGAAGTTTGGGACAAAATGGGGAATAAAATTGGTGTTGGAAGGACAAATTTGTTTTAGAAAAGTCTTACAATATTACAATATTCTTACAATGGGACACTCATTGAGTGTATTAAACACACAGTGGATCAGCAACACTAATTTTTAATATATTTCAATGTCTCCATACAGTTTTCTATTCTGTATTTGCTCTATTAGTAGCGCATACACTTACATAAATAACAGAAGATAAACATTAAGTGCAACTTCTGGCTTATACAAGACCTTAACAGTAGTTCCAGACTGCAGACCTGGTAGTAGCACTGGTCTGTAGACCTAGACTGTGGGTCAAGACTGTCAACCCAGACTGTTAACCTAGACTGTCAAATTTTAACCCAGACTGTTAACTCAGACTGCATCTCAGACTGTCAATTTTCGACCCAGACTGTCAAACCCAGACAGTCGACGTAAACTGCAGACCTAGACAGTGAACCGAGACTGTCAACGTAGATTGCAGACCTAGACTGTAGACCTAGACACATACCCAGACTGTCAACGTAGACTGCAGACCTAGACAGTAGACCTAAACACATACCCAGACTGTCAACCCAGACAGTCAATGTAAACTGCAGACCTAGACAGTGAACCGGGACTGTCAACGTAGATTGCAGACCTAGACTGCAGACCTAGACTGCAGACCTAGACAGTGTACCCAGACTGTTAACATAGACTGCAGACCTTGACTGTCGAAATAGACTGCAGACCTAGTAGTAGAACCGGACTGTAGACCTAGATTGTGGGTCAAGACTGTCAACCCAGACTGTCAACCCAGACTGTTGACCTGGACTATCAACCCGAACTGTCAGCCCAGACTGTCGACGTAGACTGCAGACCTAGACTGTAGACCTAGACAGTCAACCCAGACTGTACCCCTGGACTATCAACCAGAACTGTCAACCCAGACTGTCGACGTAGACTGCAGACCTAGACAGTCAACCCAGACTGTCAACCCAGACTGTTGACCTAGACTATCAACCCGAACTGTCAGCCCAGACTGTCGACGTAGACTGCAGACCTAGACTGTAGACCTAGACAGTCAACCCAGACTGTCAACCCAGACTGTTGACCTGGACTATCAACCCGAACTGTCAGCCCAGACTGTCGACGTAGACTGTAGACCTAGACAGTCAACCCAGACTGTCAACCCAGACTGTACCCCTGGACTATCAACCAGAACTGTCAACCCAGACTGTCGACGTAGACTGCAGACCTAGACAGTCAACCCAGACTGTCAACCCAGACTGTTGACCTGGACTATCAACCCGAACTGTCAGCCCAGACTGTCGATGTAGACTGCAGACCTAGACTGTAGACCTAGACAGTCAACCCAGACTGTCAACCCAGACTGTACCCCTGGACTATCAACCAGAACTGTCAACCCAGACTGTCGACGTAGACTGCAGACCTAGACTGTTAATCCAGACTGTCAACCCAGACAGTTGATGTAGACTGCAGACCTAGACAGTGAACCCAGACTGTCAACGTACACTGCAGACCTAGACTGTTGACATAGACTGCAGACCTAGACTGAAGATCTAGACATTTATTGAGTTAACCCAGACTGTCAACGTAGACTGAAGCCCAGACTGTCGACATAGACTGCAGACCTAAACTGTTGACATAGACTGTAGACCTAGACTGTCAACCCATGACAGTCGACGTAGACTACAGACCTGGTAGTAGAACCGAACTGTAGACCTAGACTGTGTGTCAAGACTGTCAACCCAGACTGTCAACCCAGACTGCATCTCAAACTGTAAATTTTCGACCCTGACTGTCAAACCCAGACTGTAGACCCGAATTGTCAGACCAGACTGTTGACATAGACTGCAGACCTAGACTGTCAACCCAGACAGTTGACATAGACTGCAGACCTAGACAGTGAACCCAGACTGTCAACGTAGACTGCAGACCTAGACAGTTAACCAAGACTGTCAACCCAGACAGTCGATGTAAACTGCAGACCTAGACTGTCAACCCAGACAGTCAACGAAGAGTGCAGACCTAGACTGCAGACCTAGACAGTGAACCCAGACTGTTAACATAGACTGCAGACCTTGACTGTCGAAATAGACTGCAGACCTAGTAGTAGACCTAGATTGTGGGTCAAGACTGTCAACCCAGACTGTTGACCTGGACTATCAACCCGAACTGTCAGCCCAGACTGTCAACGTAGACTGCAGACCTAGACAGTTAATCCAGACTGTCAACCCAGACAGTTGACGTAGACTACAGACCTGGTAGTAGAACCGGACTGTAGACCTAGACTGTGTGTCAAGACTGTCAACCCAGACTGTCAACCCAGACTGCATCTCAAACTGTCAATTTTCGACTGTAGACCCGAATTGTCAGACCAGACTGTTGACATAGACTGCAGACCTAGACAGTGAACCCAGACTGTCAACGTAGACTGCAGACCTAGACTGTAGACATAGACTGTTGACCTAGACTGTCAATGTAGACTGCAGATGTAGACTGTCAACATAGACTGCAGACCTAGACAGTTAACCCAGACTGTCAACCCAGACAGTCGACGTAGAATGTAGACCTAGACTGTCAACGTAGACTGCAGACTAGACTGCAGACATAGACTGTTGACCTAGACTGTCAATGTAGACTGCAGATGTAAACTGTCAACATAGACTGCAGACCTAGACAGTTAACCCAGACTGTCAACCCAGACAGTCGACGTAGAATGTAGACCTAGACTGTCAACGTAGACTGCAGATCTAGACTGTCTACCAGACTGTGGTACCAGACTGTAGACACTGACAGCAGACCCTTATAATTCACCATTCAACCTCTGAAGCCTAATTACTTGATTAGTGATGCAATAAATGAAATAATTATATTTTAGTGGTAAATTAGTATATCTTATTATAGTATTAAATTTACCAATGTTCTAAATCTTAGATGTTCTTTGAACATTTAGCAATATTAGCAGTTAATAAAGTCACCACATTTTTAGTCTAGTGGAAAAAAAGGGGTTTGAGATGATTTCAACTTAATTTTAATATTGATGATATCTAACAATTAACAATATAGTAATATGTGAGAGGAATGAGTCCAACTGAAGCAGCATCACAATTCGCCATTTGTTTTGAATGTTTGATCAAAACTCATAAGTGTATGGTACTTAATATCATGTCTACTATTCTTTGCAGCACCAACTTTGAAAACACTATGCAAGTTATCTGTAATTACGCATAAATTGGATATATCAAGTCTACCCCATGATATCAGGTATGTATCCTTATTGACTATTGCCAGCAACACATATCGTATATCAACACAACGTATCATGTATATCACCATCATCAGGTTCCTCCAACAACACTGATACATTAACACATTCAATTATTTTCACATCAGGGTATACCAGACAGACAGACAGACAGACAGACAGACAGAATAACAACAGGGTATACAAGACAGACAGCCAGACAGATTATCAACATTAGGGTATACCAGACAGACAGACAGACAGACAGACAGAATAACAACAGGGTATACAAGACAGACAGCCAGACAGATTATCAACATTAGGGTATACCAGACAGACAGACAGACAGACAGACAGACAGAATAACAAAAGTATTATACCTAGAAATAATAAACATAGCTTGTATTATGTTATACCACTAATATGTATGTTTTTTCTCTTCTACCTCATCAAATCAATTTTATCTGAAACATTTAATAATATAACATAATGTAATATACTTTGTGTACAATGTCTATATAAATGGTATCAGCTGTGTTTATTGCAATCAATGTTTATTCAGTAATGCTCCATTTTGTGCCTCTAAATTAGTCGTGATCAGTATATTTCTAAGCATGATAAATACCCCAAATTATCTATGCAGACTAATTATATGCAATTATATGCAACAATAATGATGAAATGTCAATGGTATGGACATACTGTATTAAAAATGCGCCTATAATAGAAGTACCATATGTACTTTATTAGAAACTATCTATAATACAATCTCCATATTGGCTCTATTAAAGCAACACCAATATAAGCACACATCTGCCAAAAATGTGTTTACTGTGAGCTAGATTATTAAAATATGGCTTATTTTGGCCATATATAGATAAACTTTTTTCATTTTTGCAAGCACCATCTGTTTCTAATAACGTAAAATTTGAAGAATTTAATAATCAGTCAATTTTTGACTCCCGTGTGCGTAGCACAAAAAGGGAGTCTTTGCAGTTAGTGTGTCTGTCTGTTTGTCTGTGTGTGTCTGTTCCACTGATATCTCAAGAACCATACATTGATTTTTGATGAAACTTGGTGCATAGATGCTCTGGGCCAATGCGCATATTTGATTAGGTTTTGGTAAAAATCCATGCATATTAATTACCTAATTTGCATGATAATTAGCTGATTTTTAGCTGTTCCATGACTGTTCCACCTATATCTAAAGAACCACTCATTGGATTTTGATGAAACTTGGCACATAGATGCTCCAAACTAATGTGCAGATTTGGTTAGTTTTGGGTAAAAATCTGTGCAATATTAATTACCTAATTTGCATAATGATTAATCAATTTTCAGCTTTTCCACTGATGTCTCAAGTAGTAATCATCACATTTCAATGAAACTTGATACATAGATATCATAGGACACTGCACAGACCTGATAGTTTTTAGGGTAATATCAGTAGATATTAATTACCTAATTTGCATAATTATTTAATTTTCAGCTATTGATATATCAAGTAGTAATTGTCACATTTCAATGAAACTTGGTACATATATGTCATAGGACACTGCACAGACCTGATAGTTTTTAGGGTAATATGAGTACATATTAATT